AGATCCTAATGCTGCTGGCAGACTGGAACTTCATTTGTTCTAGTGAGGTTTAGGAATGCAAGCATCTTTTTAGAAGTATTCGTAATCTATTAATAAACGGAAAAACTCCAAGGAGCTGTCATGGACAGGACTGAGTAAATTTAAGTAGGCCAGTCTGTCAGAATCCAAAAACTTAAAGCATCCTTGTTAGCGGAGAAGGAAAGCTCAATAATAACACTACAAAGTTTTATTCAGGTAGTAGATATATTAGCATCTCTAATTGTTACCAGAGGGGGAAAAAAAAAAAAAAAAGACTAAAGAGTTTGATGGGACTGATCCCATGCTTTAAAGCATGCAGTGACAGACTTCCTTCTTGCAGACCTCTTATCAAGAACTGCAGTTTTAGTATACTCATTTTTGACTGTACCATCCTTAGGCGATTAGACTCACTGGGGAAGGGTGGGTGGGGTGGGGGGTGAGGGGAATAGCCTACAGGAAGCTGCTCTGCTAGACAGACTGAGATCCTCACAGTCAGAACTATGGAGTACAAGTACAGCAAGCTCAATGACTTCTGTATTTCTACCTAGGTATCATCTAGTAGAGAGCTAGCACACTGTTAATGAGAATTTGTATTGCTTCAGCTTCTTTCCTGAAAGGATTTAATTCCTAAATCATTTGGGGCCACCTGCATCTACCCAAGATCCTAGGCACGTGCAACACAGAGGATGGAACATGTGAGGATGCAAGCACACAAAGTAGTTGGGCTTTGTTCCTAGTCAGTCAAGAGACCAAAACTTCCCTGGTTCTACCATATGCTTGGTAAGTGTAGGAAAGCTGACAAATACTGAAATAAGTACTGAAATGTTGGAAGTTGTCAAAATAAGGGATAGTGTTACGATATTACAGGTTCCTGCTCCAGCATCAGGAAGTCAGTTATAAGAAGGCCTCATTGCCTAGCATCAATGAGAAGAGGGGAGACTCAGTTTAGGAGTAATTTTCCTCCCTCAACATTAAGATTAGAGATCCATGCCTCAGTCAGGAGCAGTCTGGGAATGGAAATTATGTCTGGTAACATTAGAGAAAGATTAGAGAAAGAAGGAGCTCCTCAAAGTCCAGCTATTTGAGTGCTTTATGGCAGTGCCAGTACACAGTCCCTTGTCACATGTGGAACAAGTCACACCCAAGAGGTTTAAAGACTCTTCAGTCAAGGACATCTGCCCAGAGCTGCTGTTACTGGTTCCCACAGAGTTCAGGACCAGCTGCATCTAATCGCATTGACACCAGGACTTACTCTCAGCTCCCTGCAAAGCAGCCACATTTCAAGGGTATGGGCTGCTCTTGTCTTTGGGATGATTTATATGATCTGAAGAGAAACCAGAGTACTGCTCCCACCACTGGAGCCCCCTGGAAGGGGTGTGAGACACTCCTCTGTGTGAAGGCAAGCAGTGGTCAGATACCTACAGACTACAATGCTGAATAGACAGAGCTCTTGTTCACTGGGTCAGAGAGAGGTGGGTGGGAAATATTTAAGCTTGTTTTTCTCTTCCTTTTGCACTTTGATATCACTGGCACAAACAAGCTTTCCATGACAAACCAAGGCTAGAGTTAGTCCCTTGTATGGTCATACAGACTAGATTACACCAAAGATAGTAACAGATGCAATAAAAGCAACTCCATTCCTCCGGTAGTTTTTTCCTATCCAACAGGGAAACGGATGTTTATTTCAGCCAGTATCCATCCCTAAGCAGTGACCCATAAGCACTGTCATCTAAGCATTGCCAATAACCATAATGCCACATAACACCAACTTTTAGACATGCACACGTGCCTGTTCCAGCTGGAGTTCCCTGGGCTTTGACGTCCATTGTCCAGGAGAGGGGGAGAAATGAGCCACAAGTATAGCAAAACCAACAAATAAGAGGGAGCTGCTCTGGACTCAGACTCAGTGTTTATGTGAGGGCCAATTCCTGATGAAGGCAAGCTGAATCTTGGGATCTACACACACGTAGACTGAGGCCTAAATTCTCCCCTTACCAAGCCCAGAACTGAAGGAAGGAAAAAAGCCAGGTTTACCTCTCTTCAACAAAGTGGAGTTATTACATTATATTTATGTTATCTTGCTGATCAGTTTAAAGAGTCAGGCCTATTGCAAGAGCAGCAATTAGAAAACTCAATTCTTGCTTCAAAGAGCATTTGGACACACCGGCATGCTGGACAAAACAGAGTATGCTCATAGGCTGAACAACTGGAAGTAACTCAGTAAAAAAACAAACAAACAAACAAAAAAGCAACAAACAACACACTGTGCTTCACACATACACAAAAACCTTCTCTATCTGCCCCAGACTAATAGAGTTTTGAACTAATAGGGAGAACAAGTTAGAGCTAGAAAAATGTTCATTTTAAATTTCCTTTAGGGACAGGATTTGGGCAGCATACACATGCATAACCTGAAAGCATCAGGAAGTCAATCCTGAATCCTTGTTGCAGAGGGAAGATGGCACCACCTGGCACAAGGGGTGATCACTCCAGTGCTACTGCACTCAGATGAACAACGGAGTATATTCTCATAGACAAGGGCCACATCATAGAGGAGGAGCAGTCCTCAGCCAGGCAAGCTAAACTAAGCCATCCCTTAACAGAGGGACCCACAAAGGACACAGTACTACAGCCCTGAGAGGCACTGTTCACTGACACCTACACAATGGAGAACCCTTTCTGCTCCTTCATTACGTACTTGACCTGGAAAACCTTATTTGCCTCAAGAGAAGATTTCTGAGCAGGTCAGCACAAACATTAACAGAGAAACAGGTTCAGTCCCTACTCTGTTACAAATCCCATAAACACCTCTCTCAATGTTACAGACTTTCAGAAGTATTTGGTTTCTTCATTCTCAAGTCTACAATCAAAATGGCCTTAAGCTGCCTTTTTTTAAAAAAAAAAAAAAAAAAAAAAAAAGAAAATAACAACAGCAACAAATAATAAAAAATGGAAAAAGGCATAGAGCACACGAAACGTACACATCAGGTTAAGGAAATAGCACTACCAGGCACTTCTGGCAGCAATAGCTTTGATCACACTGCACTTGCCTATCAGAGAAACAACAGGAGTAATAAAACAGTTATTAACATCGTTACTTCTTTTCAAGAAATAAAAAAGTGAACTTATATTTTAAGTGAATCATTTAGAATGCACCATGCCCTTTGAGTCAGAAGCTACACTGTTGTTACCAATACTATACACCTTAACAGGGAACCATCAAGAAACAGTACAAGATTAAGAGTTACATTAGGGACAGGCCAGAAGTTTGAATATGATCCCATGTTTAAGGGTTTAATAGCGTAAGAGAAATTGCTGCTTCACTTGATTTCCTCTAAGAGTCAAAGTCATTTTGAACAAACCATTCTTTTCAGACTGAAGTTCGTTCATTTAAGGATTACAAAAGAAGTTTTTCCTTAAGACACTTCATTAGATACCACAACTATTTCCTAAAGCAGAACCACACAGAGTGTAATCTACCACAATCACAAGGTTAACATAAAAATACCAGCTGCGCTACAAGATCAGAAGTAAACTACTATAAAAGCTCTAAAACTTCTTTCTAAGTGCACAAAAACAAACAACTTACGTAAATTAAATCCTCTGTCACAGCAAGCAGCAGCCACTTTTCCCACACTCATTCCTTTCCTCTGGACCCCTCTAGAGAAGGCAGGTGCTCTGCCACTGTGCCTTTTATCCCTAAACCCTTTCCAGGGCAGCTTTGCTTCCTCCGTTTGTCAATCGGTGGAAGCTGATGTGTAACCAAGGTGTCTAATCAAGGAAAGGCTTGCTGAAAGACCCGTGCTAATAGAATTATTGCAACTCATTATGCTGGGAATCCCCTGGTAACTTTTAAAACTTGTTATGCCTGTGCTTCAGCTCAGCAAAGCAGTGGATTCCTACAGTCCCTGACACAGCTGCAGACAGTCTGGAATCTGTGCAAGTTTTCCTGGCTAATTTTGAGATGTAGCCTCACATACTGTGTATTGCAACAGTCTAATTGTGAAAGCCCAGAACACCTGCGGAAAAATGTCCTCATGATCTCCAGAAATAATGCTGCAAGATCCTAGCTGTTTCAGAGGCAGGGCATGCATAAGGTAGAAGAAAACTGGAACTCTTCTTCCTTTGCCTTACCCAGTCCTTAGCATCACTATTGTTGCTGTCAGGAATCAATGAGTAACCAGCATCCTGACTGTTACATTCAGTTCTGGAGCAAGGCAATCCACACACAGCTCATCTCACTTTTGCTGTCAAAAAGGTGCTATCTGTTCATGGTGATCTGTCTCTGCCTCCTCAGCCTGGCTTTGCTTCAGCAACTGAGAGATACAGCACTCTACAGCTAGGCCCTGCAGCTCACTAAGTATGGACAAAATAATGTGTCGCATATGAAATAATAGAAATTATAATAAATCAGTCTGAGAACAGTGGCCACGTCTCCACACCATTGCACTGTATGAATGACCTGTTCTGTACCAAGGGTGATCTCCTTGCAGCAGGTCAGGCGAACAATAGTGTGCGGCTGCCTTGCTTCACATGTGCCCTTTCGCCACTGCTTCTTGATGGCCTGCCAGCTCTGAAGGCATAGCTTTTGGGGGGTCAAATTCTTCCCATGACACCTGTGCCAATGTGGAGTAACTAGTGTATCTGCTGGAGTTTCTTAACATTTACACTGGCACAGTGGAGATCAAGATGCCGACGTCCGTCAGTGCACAAAACAAGCCTTTGCAGGCTTTTTGAGGTGACACCTTCTGATCGATGGTAGGAACAGGTTAGAGTGTCCACTGGAACCCTGGGTGCTCACATTTACATCACCTCCCTTTGCACTGACCATTGTTTCCTCGCTGTATATAAATAGACAACTGCCCCTCACTATGAGATGTGAACAGTCCTTGCAAGTATGGTAAGTCAGCAGCTTATATTCTCTCTCTCTATATGTTTGTGTGTTTATGTGTACATACAGTGGAAGTATTTTTCAAAACCACCTAGTTTTAAATAAAGCTTCCTGTTTCTTTTGTAGAAATTCTTGCTGGTCTTCTGCTTGATCCTTCTCTTCTCAGGGACTCTGTGTGATGCTCGCTGTTACTTTAGACCATCCAGCAAATACGGTAATGGCAAAAATACCTGACAACCCCGAAGCAGAGATTCAAAGCCTAATTATGTTAGAAATGTTGGAATAGTATAATGCATATTCTGTGTTGAAGAATGATCCAAACAGCTACACATTCAGGTACCAACCCATCTGGAAACATCTCTGGACAGAGAGACACTATCTGATGGATAGCTGAAGTTCTTGCCTACATGGCAAAAACCATATACTTTCAAGCAGCACTGACTAATCTGAGTGGGTACCTGACACTAAAATCAAAGCAAAAAATATACAACTGATTTTTAAATTCAGTTTAGCAGAACAAGTTGAAGCCTAATAAAAGCTGTGGAGGGAGGAGGAAGGAGAAACTACAGTCTAGACTTGGATGTTGAGCATGAGAAAGGGCAGAAAGCTCCTACCATAGCCATCAGCTAAAGCATTTCTCTAGCAGAATAGTGCTTCTTTTGTATGTGATTGCTACCACATTATAGTGACGTCATACACTCACACACTACAGAAGCAAAGACATTGTATGCTTTCTGCAGAGCATTGTGTCACATTCTTCCCTGGTGTGACTCTATGGAAATCAGTGCTTTGATTGCCAGTCCACAAACATAAGACTGTGGATTATGTCTATTAATATAGACATATATAGACGTATAATTAATATAATTAATATTAATATATAATTAATATATATAATTCATATTAATATAGACATATATAGACATATATAACAGTACTGACATACTGACTATTATTTTCTGCTGTGTGCATGTAGGGTGCCTTTCAAACAGAAACCTTTACGTTTTTGGTGCGGTGTGGAAGACTGAAGATTGTTACCAATGCAGGTGTAAGATGAATGCAATGATTTGCTGCAGCTTGTAAGTTCCCCCAGATTATTTTTTGGGTTTACTTATTTAGGAACTGGTTAAAATTTTCAGACTTGAAAAGACTCAATGACAGCATGTTCTGGAATTTCATACTCACTTCAACAAAATTCCTCTTTCCGTTTCTCAGTTAGCTCTAAATACGACCAAGCAGAATTATTCGCCAACCACACAGACTTTTTTGGGATATCATCCGGTCCTTCTTTTGATTCTGACACTGGGGTCATGGGCGTATGACAACTGGATGTATGAGTCTCTCTATCCTCATTTTTCTTCCTCCTTGTCTTCAGCAGCTTGTTTATAGATACCTAAACACATAACACAAATACATGTGGACTCCTGAAACTGTGCTCCAGACCAGTGCCTGCCTGCAAGCATTTAATCAGGCCAGTGCTGCTCCACACCCTTCCCTGTGCTGCTGAGCTCATCATTCCTGCTTAGCACAACAGGACACACGTGCTCTGCTCTGATCATTTGGTTTCTAAATCTTCTTGTGTGTTCCCATCTCATAGATAGCAGGTGGCACATCAAGGACAGACATCTTCCTGAGTATAATAGGGTGGACTGCTTATGTCTCCAAAAGGCTAAAAAAACTTTTTGGGGTGAAGGATAGAGTCCCATACGGGGTCTATGAGGAAGGATACAACTTGAGGAACCTGTGGTGGGGAATATTTCTGGCTTTTCTCAGCCATAAGACAAGGTGAGGTACCTCATCTGGGAGGTATTCATGCTAGGGTGATTCAGCACTCTTGAAATGGTTTGCTCTTCACAATAATGACAAAAAAGCCTTAGTTTGAAGGAGAAAGACAGAATTAATCCCCACTTCGTCTATATGCAAGAATTTATACCAATCCCTAACAGAATGACCAGTGAGAAATGCATTTGAAGACTTGAAGACACAAGTAAATCATTTCATCTGTGACCAGACAGGATCAGGGCTCTGTATTTCTCTTACTATAATTCTTACTGCTTACATTAATGGAGTCTACAAGACAAACCAAACCATAACGTATCTTCCCCAGATTGGCTGTGGTTCAATTAACACCCATATCTCAGTCCATACCCTAACTTCTGTTTTTTCTCTTTGCCTTTTTCAAATGACAGGGTTGTAATCCCCAAGAACTACGACAGAGCAAACTGTGTTGGTCTGTTCCACAAGAAAAGCTGTTCAATCAAAGTAGTGAAGAAGACAAACCCTGACATAAGCTGCAAAGTCTACAATGGAGTTGGTTAAGTCCATGTGATGTGTTTCTCCTCTTCTGCATGTCCCTGGAAGTTGAATATGTTTTGGATCTCTCATTTAGAGGAAATCATCAAAGCAACATGGTTTCAGAAGGAATGGGTTCACCTCATGCCTTTCCCAGTTCTAATTATGGCACGTCTGTCTGATTTCTGACACTAGGAGGTTTGTCTTATTATATAAACATTTGTAACAAAGCTTTACCATAGATAATTTTGTGACTTTATTCCTGTTGGGATCCAGAGTTAAATAAATTTCCACATATACCATATTACTTCTTTTCCTTCCAAGTAGTTACTAAGTGGTCTTGTTGAAAACAGAAGAATTCACGGTATCTATAAAAACATGGTTGCAAAGCTAATTATTGATTTAGAAATCACCTAGCAATTAGAGTAACATATATTACACAAAGCTGCCAGACAAAAAGATTCATTATGCTATTACACCCATTGACATTTCTCCCGAGGACTTGTACACTAGAACAGGATAAAACAAAGCAGAAAACAGCCCTTTGAAAGCCTCCCCCAACCTGGTGCCTTCTGTAGGTCAATCCATTAGTGCAGATGTACAAGGGAACATATTTTTCAGGAGATAACTGGTGTATTACAAAAATGGCAAGCTCATTCCTGGGAGTCCAACCTATTGCAAAGAAATGCCATATAAATAGCTCCGTAGCCTTCCATACTGGGGTAGAATTTCCTGCAATAATCTTGCTTGGACCAAAGTCCAGTGACAAACAACCCTGTGAAAGCTGTTTGTATAGAAAACCCAGACTATAAAATATGTTTGGAGAGTAGACTTTAGGCGCTACACTGTGCGTGGTACAAAGTCCATGAGACAGGTTTATATAAAAATATCCTATAAAACATATTTATACAATATAAAAAGCAATTATAACAAGAGCACTGTACAACTTTAAAGGCCCAGATAAATAATTTGAGTGAGTTTATTTAACGGTGACATCATGGTTGTTCTCTTCATGTCCTTTCTTCTATCTTGCTGAAGTGTATTACAAAAGAAATATTTCAGCTGATAGAAACACCAACATATTTTTCATAACTATTGTGGTCTATTTTTAAGTGCAGTGCACATACTAAGTAAAACAGCTTACCAGTTTTTAGAAGAAAATCCATCCATGGCTCCATCTACTACCAGAAAGTCATATAAGTGATTACCAGAAAGTCATTAAGGTGATTTGAGAAAGTAAGTAAAATGAGAAATACAATTGTACAATTGTAGCTCCTTAAATCTGTGGCCTTTGGGATTAACAACTCCTTCAGACAGTATCTCCCAGTGCCTTTTTGGGAATAAGGGAGCGGATATCATGGATCTGGCTATGCCCCTTCCAACCTCTAAGTAGCAGGACACTGGAGAGGCCCTCACTTTTCTACTTGCTGAGTGTGGATAAGAGGATTTCACCCATCTGTGGGAATTTCTGAGTACTCTGCTCTTGCTTTGTAAGCAAGGAAGAAAAGGCCACGAACAAGTCAAAGCTAAACCCAAGTCCATCTGCCTGATATCCTGTTTCCTACAGCATCCATGAGGGCAGGACTTGGAAACATTGTGAGCCTAGTCTAGTCTCACAACTGATGCCGAGGGAAACTTTGGGGAATTCATGACATCTCCCTGGGGAATATTCCTACTGGAAACTTAATTCCCAGCAAATCTCTATCAATCTGCTGCAGCAGATATCTTTCGGGTGATCCAGTTTATGACCCAATAGTCCAATTGGAGATCTGGCTAGCAGTTATTTGAATAGGAATAACAACTTTCCTCTCAGAAGCCTGAAGACCTAGAAAAGACTGAAGACCCAATATCTACATATTTCAGTGCACTAGATCCCATTGAGCATATTGAAACATTGTTTCAGTTCCTCATTTTTGTTTTCTTTTTCAGCTCTCTTGAAAAATGTGTTTCTGTGAGTCTTCACAGCACCTCTATTTTTGCAAACAAAATCCCTATCACGAATGTCCATGTATAGCTCTGGGTTTTGAGAAGGATCCATGCTCAGATCTTTACCCTGACCAACCTTCACTGGGTGCCTTTTTCATCGTCAGGCATGGAGCCCACAGCCAGTGTGCTGCTGTCATAGCCTAGCCCCAGATTTGTTGCCCATTGTCTCTTCTGTGCTAACAGTCTGGGGGAAATCAGGTTCACTAGCTCCCGCTGTTGAAGGAGGGGTATGAACAACGTGAAGAAGGATGAAAATGATTAAAATATCAATTCTTCCTCAGAGAGAGAGAGAGATTCTGACAAAACTAAGCAACCAAGCAAAACCAAACTTCTTCAAAATTCCTACAAAGATGCAATGTAGACCTGTTAAGCTTAGCATACAGATGGACTATGGTGCATTTTTTCCATAATACTTTTGTCATCAAATAGCCCATCCTATTCTTTGTGGACACTGTTTGCTGCCTATTTACCAGTGCCAGAGAGAGCAGGACTACAGATGATGGACCACAATTAGATTTCCTAAACGTACTGTAGGAGAATTCACCTCTGACATTCCTGGCTCAGAAGAGAGAAAGGCAGAGCCTCAGGGCTCCATCCAAGAAGGCTGATATGGCTGGAAGCCTGACACAAGAATGTTGGAGGACACCCTCGAAGCATCCAAGGTGCAGTCATAGTCCCAGTGCTATGTCAATCCCCTTTTCTCCAGGGAAACAGTTTACTGTACCCAGTGAATGTTTCTTGGTAGAGACTTTGCTATCACCATAACCTCTTGCAGAAATGAGTTATCTGGCCATCACAAAGAGGACCACGTCCCATGCACCTCCCTTGAAACAGGTTGTCTCTGTGGAGTCCAACTGTCTTAAATAAAACAAAGCAAAGCAAAGCAAAACAAAACACCTATAGAGAAAAGAGTTTGGTTCCCAAGTGCCTTCCCATAACAGGAGCACGTGCTGTGGACAGCAAATGGGCCCACGTGTTCTTATCGCTCTGTGGGTAGGAGGGCAGGCCTACGCCATGCCAGCCGCATTTTTACTCCATTTCCTATCAACAGTAAACAGAGGTTGGTCCATTGGTTGCTAGAGTCAATGTAAACCGACTGATAGGAACAGAAACAGCCAGTCTGACCAGCCCGTGACTTGCAGTAGCTGGACCTACCGCACTCCTGTGCAGCTTTGGAGCAGCAAGTATCCTGGATAAGAAGGAATTTCCATGCTTGGGCACCCTCTTACAAGTACTGCTTGTCAAAAAGCCTTAGCAGGCCAGGATCTGCGCAGACACTCTCCACAAATAACAGCTCAGTGGTCCCCATCGTATAGTACCAGATAGGACTCTAGAGCAGCCCCATTCACCTCACTAAAAATGGCCAGATCCTTGATACATCAGTTCATCCCAAAAATCTGTCAAGAGGAAAGACTCTGATGCCATAGGAAAATATCCATAGTCAGGTCATTTCCCAATCCGTGGGCTGCATAGGCCTGAGCAGCCTTTCAAGAAGTGTGCTGCAGCTGTTCTTCGTTGCCTGTAAGAAGAGAGCAGATGTTAATTTGCTGGTTGGAGGCTCTGCCCAAAGGTCTGAACTGAGAGAATAAATGTGACACAGTGTGTCTTTAACTGCTTGGGAGGTGTGGAGTTACCACTGGCAGACTACTTTCACAAGCTGAAGGGGACAGGAAGAACAGCACCATAAATCAAAATATTCCCCAGGAAAAGTACTGTCTGTTTCCTAGTGGTTTCCCTCCCCTTTCTTTAATGCTTTGAACAGCAGAGCAAATAAACATATGATAAATAAATTAAGGAAGGAACAGAAGTGAACAGGCCAGCTAAATAAATCATTTCTGCTTTTCTGGCTCCAGTAAGATAGGAAGCCTCAACTTCCTAAGGAGCTGGCAGGAGGCTGAGGATCTGCATGGGCTGCTGACTTCTCAGCTGGAAGCACAGGCTTCATGTCCCCTTCCTAGGAAGATCAGAAAGGTCATCTCCTGCTGAGGGGCCTGGGTAAAAGGGAAATGCTGTTTAAAGCTAACTGGTAAATAAAGCTCCTGAAAAAGAAGCTGGGAAGAATAAGTAACACAAAATAAACAACCGAGGCATGCACTGAAGAAAGAGGCACTAAGGACCACACTCTGGCTGATATCATTCATCACACAGGTTCTGGTTTTAAGCCTCTCAGCATCATAAGATACAAGAAATGCCAAAATATGCTAGAAAAACATCAAATATTTCTGTTTCTGCTTTATTTCTTTAATGAAGAAAGATGTCAGCTAAGAGCTTAATAGATGGGCACATCTCCTCTAGTAGCTGATACTAGAAAAAAATGAATACAGTACAAATAAATGACAATTTTCACAGTTAGTTTAGCTGATATGAGCTTGTAGTTATTTTTGATATTGAAATGTTTTATTTCTGTTGACATACTACATGCCTACAAATGAAAATACATATTTTCTACAACTACTTATCACACCTTTATAAGAGCCCCAGAACAGCAGTAGGTAGAGTAGACCTACCTTAGACTAGGTTAGTAGCTGACCATAGCTTAAAACACACTTAAAGACAAAAATTAGGTTGTTCTGGTATGGCCCTTGAAAATATTCTGTTTGTGTATTTTCTCAATGCAAGGTAAAAATTTGCAACTCTGATTTCTGACTTGGGTTTTCACAAGAAGGGGGGGGGGGGGAGAACAAAACAAACAAACAAAACAAGACAAAACAAACAAACAGAAACAATGAAAGCTAGTACTTTGGCAAATCCTTCTTTTCCTCCATTTCCAAATTTTTCAGTGCTCTCAGATTTCTGAGTTTTTTGCATGGGTAACAGTGCACATCTTCCCCTTCCACAAGCTGGATATTTAAAGACTTGAAGCCTGGATCATTCTAAAATAAAATTTCAATTCTGGTCTTTGGTGGACTGGGGGCAGGGAGGCTGGGGTGGGGAGAGGGGAAAAAAATGATACTGTCAACTTTTTTCTATATGTATGAGGATAAACTGTCTTTGAAACCCATAGAAATCTTGCCTCAGGAAGGAGAACAGAGTGAGGATTATTCCTGTACTTCATCCCTCTCCTTCCACTCACGTACATGCTTGTGTGCAGCATGGGTCCACATAGTGTTTCACATCGTTTCAGCTCTTTCCTGGAGCTGCATTTCATCTCACGTATCTGTAGAATTTCTACATTTCTGGAACAGCAGAGGGAGCCAGAACTTTTAAGTCAGACCAACACCATGAAACGGGATTCATTGGCTAAACTGAACAGAGGGAAGGGGGGGAGGGAGAGAACTACCATCCAAATTACCTACA